TCCCAGGTGAAGAGCTAAAATTAAAATCAGATTCTGCCAACAAAATGGCTCTAAAACAATTCATGTGTAAATATTTTGCATATTTACTGCAAAATCTCATTTTTCTGCTGCTTAAGTGCTGCAACAACATTTTATGAATAAGAAATTATTATACCTTTTGTTTTATTACAGCATCTGTACGCTTCATGTGCACAGAATATTAAGGATGCTTGTTTCAGCTGTGAGATTAGACGATAGGATCAATGATGAAACAGTTTGTCATGGACTCCATGGAAACTTTCAGAGAATCCACAAATAGAGGCTTTCAGATGCTTTTGTTACTGACAGATGTTTGTGAGTTTAGAAAAGAAACCGATGACAGCGTGTCCGACAACTTTGTTTTTCGTCTGACAATATTAGAAGCTGTCAGTGATGTCTGAGATGGTCTAAGGAGCTTTGAAAGAAAAGCATCTGGACTTCTTTGAGTTGCTTGAAGACGTTTCACCTCTCATCCAAGAGGCTTCTTCAGTTCTAAGGTCAAATGGTGGAGAGTCCCAGATTCAAGCCCAGTGGGAGTTTCCCCCCGAAGAGGGAACAAAAGACCCCCTGATGATCTTCTACATAAACACATGAGCTAAGGTGTGAGGGTGGATGTGGGTTCTATTCTGCCAGAGTTTCGGGTGAGCTCATTGTGAAGCCTGGCCCCACCCTATCATGTGAATTCCTGAGGTCATATGGCCCAGGATATGCGTGGGCATTGAGGCATCTGGGAAGGGATCTCAAAACTGGATTATAGATGGCAGACAGTTGGTGTCGTAAACCACCGCCTCTGTTCAAAGATGGTTGCTCACAGTGGACATAAATGGCTTCCTTTACTCCTCTTTCAAACCATCTGTCCTCTCTGTCCAAAATGTGAACGTTCTCGGATGAGAGGTGAAACGTCTTCAAGCAACTCAAAGAAGTCCAGACGCTTTTCTTTCAACACTCCTTAGACTACAATGACCTGGATGACTGAGAACCTTCACAGACACGATGTCTGAGATGCTTTTACAAACACTGTATAACTTCTGGGGAGCCCAGTTATAGGGGTGAGGGGTGTTCTGTTTTGCCTTGGCCCCCCAAAATGCCTTGAAACGGCCCTGGGTTTGTCTGAGTTTTGAAGGTGATCTGAATTGTATCAGATGTATAAATATTACATGTGTGTAACTTATTGTTTTATACAGGTAAAAACGTGTAGTGGAGATAAATCTATCTACATTTTACTTTTCAGCACTTTGCTTTGTTTTCTTGTTTTTATTTAACTATTTCCTGTCCTGTCTGTCTCTCATCTTCCTGCATCTCCTCTAAACTCTCCAGAAAAACTGCTGCCTGGATTCTTACTTTTTCAACTCATCAGTTACTTTTGAACTAAGCAGATCAAAGGAATCTCCTGACCGCAAAGCGTAGTGCGCGTCTCGATGCTGCGTCAGTGTTACGAACCCTGAGTTCCCCGGCACTCAGTTTCTACTCTGCACCGTTTCCTGCACCATTTCCAGGACCATGGAGAGCGCCCGGCTCCCTGGCTTCACTCACGCAGCTGACGCCCATCAGGAATCACCCAGCTGGAGCGAATAAAGATCAGCGCTGCTCAGACGGAGGAGAGCGAGGGAAGGCAGAGGAGGCACAGAGAAGAGAGGGAAGGCAGAGGAGACGGAGAGAGGAGAGCGAGAGGAGAATGCACAGAGAGAGAACGCAGAGAGAGAGGACTGGAGAGGAGAGGATTAAAAGGAGACCTGTGGTTGAGAACTTTTGGGAACACATAGTTGCCCCCGGATGGTTAATTTCCACCTGCTTGGGAAAACTTTCAGGCTGATGTTTGCTTTCCCCTTAGCTCTTAACAGAGCTGACGGTTGTGTGGGTGAGTTAGTCACCAGTGGACTTTTGGTAAGGCCTCCGGGCAAGTTTCTGTTGTTCCTCATTTAATCACTCTATTAAGTTACTTAGTCCTCAGTTTTGTCTCCAGCAGCATAAGTTAAACTCCCCTTTTAGTTAAACAGGTTTTTCTCCCGTTGGGACGCTTTTAGTTAATAAAAGGACTTTCTTTGATTGTTACTTGGTGTCAGATCATTTCCTTTAATTTCTCACATTTCTGTGTTAGACCTCCCTGGCTCCTAGACCAGGTTGGGGTCGTAACAGTCAGTGAGGTGAAATCACCGCAGCAAACGATGAGTGGAGTGTGTCAGGAACGATTAAAAGACAGAATACCAGAGGGTTTAAACAGATATGAATGATCATGATGTTTTTTTGTTAGTACCGATATTCTCGTGTTTTCTTCCCTGAGACCGTTTGTCTCAGGTGTTTAGGGTTTCCTCCATCGCCTGCGTTAGTTATTTCCGAGTGTAATTGCGTTTTGACATTTTTCCAGTCAAGGACTGAGTAATTGTGTTAGCCCTGTGTTAATAAAAATACATTTTATTCACACTCCCCCTTTCTCCGCACCAGTTTTTATGTTACCCCTCTACCACAATGTCTAACAACATCTGGGTTTGTAACATTAACCCTGAAGTTTCCATTGATATTAAATAGGCCCTATCAAATAAAAATGATTTAAGTCTAGTCTTAAAAGTAGACAAGGTGTCTGCCTCACGGACTAAAGCTGGGAGCTGGTTCTACAGGAGAGGAGCCTGATGGCTAAAAGATCTGCCTTCCATCCTAGTTTTAGATATGCTGGGAACCACCAGTAAACCTGCATACTGAGAGCAACGTGCTCGGTTAGGAACGTATGGAACAATCAGGTCACTGATGTATGATGGAGCTTTATATGTGAGAAGGAGGATCTTAAAATCTATTCTGAAGTTAACAAGCAGCCAGTGTAGGGAAGCTAAGACAGGAGAGTTATGATCTCTTTTTAATTCTCATCAGAACTCTAGCTGCAGCATTTTGGACAAGCTGAATACTTTTAACTTCATTCTGTGGACTTCCTGAGAGTAATGAATTACAGTAAACCAGTCTTGATGTAATAAATGCATGAACTAGTTTTTCAGCATCACTCCTGGAAAGGATGCTTCTAATCTTAGCAATATTCCAAAGGTGAAAAAAGAAAATCCTACAAACCAGTTTAACGTGAGAGTCCTGGTCGAAGACACTAACGTTCCTTACTTTGTTCTCAGAGACTAATTTAATGCTGTTCAGGTCAGATGATTGGCTAAACAATTTCCTTTTCTGAAGTTCCGGTCCAATAATGAGAACTTCAGTCTTGATTTAAAAGCAGAAAGTTTAGAGTCATCCAATTTTTCATGTAACAGGAAGAAACTTGCAAAGAATCCTGGAGCCATCCGCCATGAACCACTTGGGATTGAGAAGACAGAGCACATGCACACACACACACACACACACACACACACACACACACACACACACACACACACACACACACACACACACACAAACACACACACAAACACACACACACACACACACACACACACACACAGGCTACTTTATGACCATGTGTTTTACATGTTTAAAACACTTTATTATGTACACATTTTGAGAAAAGGTTGCAGGAAACACATTTTCATAGATTAACAATATTAATATAAAAACAGGCATTAAACAATAAATATGACTCACACACACGAGTCATGTTTTTATCTGAATTTTGTTACGATAAAAACAGAATTCAATACCAAAAGACAATCTTGAACAATAGAGGAAACATCAGCTTGAGGTAAACTCCAGAGGAAAAACATGACAATGTGTTTATTTCCAGTCTACACTAAGCAGATCATTTCAGAACATTAATATAAAATAATATTATTCTTATTTCTATGCTGAAGGATTGTTGCTTTATTGTTCAGTGTTATTGATCACTGCAGCTGTGAGAGAAGAGCTCCACAATCATCCAGCCTGCCCAGCTCCTCCACCACCTCCACAAGCCGCTCCACCTTCTCTGATGGCAGCACCACCTCTGCGTTGCTTCTGAACTTCTTGCTCAGGCTCTCGTTTGTCAGCGGGTTGCGCCAGTGGCCGTAGAAGGTGTCACAGCGGCCCTTCAGGATGTCTCCTCCAACTAGAGTCACCTGGACTTCTCCGTACATGCGGTTGAAATTGGCGGGGTTGTCCTCAGGATGCTCCATGCGAACACGGCTCAGCAGGAAGTGCTGCTCTGGGCGGCTCATGGCGGGCGGGCTGAAGGACTGCACGGTCACCTCACCGTCCAGCAGAGCGCTGCAGGCGTTAAACTGGAAGGAGTGGCGTGCCTCGTGCTCTGACTCGGGAAAAGGCCTGTTGATGTATTTAGACTGGGGGACTCTGAGCAGGATGTCCTGGACCTGATGTGGGGACACCTGTCCTAGACCATGTCCCACAAGGAGCTCATGGACCGCAGCTGCAGCATCAGCTACCCAGTGCATCCCCAGATGAGCAGGAAAACGCTTAAAAGCCATGTCCTGCTCCTCTAAAGGGAACACATGTCCACCATCATCAGGTGACTCTAAAGTCTGAGGAACATAATCTTCATAAAAGGCGCTGAAGCCCGCCACTCCTGCAACAGCATCCAAGACCAGAGGACTGGCCTCTAGGCCTCTGGAGGCCAGCAGAGCAGCTTCAAGCCCCAAACGAGAGGCGTTGCCGATGTGAAGGGGCTTGGACTGAGTGGCAGCATTAGCCATTGGAGCTCCAGCTAGAGAAGCTGCTATAGCCAAGGCATGACTGCACTGAGACGGATCCAGAGACAGGAGACGAGAACAGGCTGCTGCACTTCCCATAGGACCCACCACAGTGGGAGGATGGAACCTGTTCACACACACACACACACACACACACACACACGCACGCGCACACACACACACACACACACACACACACACACACACACACACACACACACACACACACACACACACACACACACACACACACACACACACACACACACACACAGTTCATTTAGGACATTTATTCTGTTGTAACTGAAACAATCACTGATCTGCATCACCACTTAAGAACGTTTCTATTGGTTGAATCTTTAGAACAAGATGAATTGATTTGACTCGTTTCAGGTCACCTGAGTTTCTAAAACACCCACCAGATGAAGGGTTTGGTTTGTGCTAATTCTGTTAACGTTACACCAAGAGCCCCTGCTGTTCCTACAGTAAGCATCATTACACTGACATCACTAAAACAGCCTCTTACACCTCAGTGCTGAGATCAGCACAGTCAAACAAGGACGTCTTTAAACGAACGTGTTCATGAAGATCGTGCTAAAATCAGACTTTCTGGTTCAAGCTTGACTTGTGCTGTGAGGCACTGACCTCTTGGGAATGCAGCGTGCTTCATTAGAGAACCTCATCAGACGGCCCTGGATCTCAATGCCGACATTGAAGGCCAGTAAGAAGTCCAGACCGCTTGGTTTGCTGTTAGCCGGCATCATGTCACTGAGAGCAAACAAAGCTGGGAGAACAGCTCCTGAGGGATGAGTGGCTGGATGCCACGTGTCGTCAAAGTCCATGGAATGAGTCTGGAAGCAACCAGAGTTTGTGTCTCATCATACTGAAGCTGAAAGGAGTCAGAATAATAACTTTTTCTGTGAGGGTCATAACTAGATCAGAACCCAGCTATGAACACCTTGCCTGTGCCGTGTCTGAATGATCCACTTCTTTATGATTTTTTTTTCTGAAGTGAACACTGACATGTTTTCTGTTCCTGGTGTGTTTTCAAAAGAAAAATGACTTTCATTCCTAAATCCAGCCATCGAGGGGGAAGAAAGTAGCTTCTTTGGAAATGTTTGATGGGAAACTTTAAGGCCAGCTCAGCTGATTTTATTTCTATATCCTAACCCTGTGGTCTTTGGGAGCCACGCTGCACCAACAGCTGAGAAAAGCTGTTTATACAAAATGTTTCCACTGATGTTTATGTGGTTATTTATTTATGGTTGTTTTCCACTTATGTTTCTCACCGCTACTCCATTAACGAAAGCTGCCAGTGTTGGGGAGAGTCTGATCCCTCTGCGTCCGTACACAGAGCTGATGTGATCCGGAGCATACATGTGCTAAGAACAAACACAGAAACAACCCTACATTCACTCATCTGTTCTGGACATATTTGGGTTGGACCTGACTCAGACTTTCACTTTGCCTCACCTGGCAGAACTGAAGAGCCAGCTCAAACACATCTGTCCTGCTCCCTATCAGTCCGACCCCGATGCTGTCCAGCACCATCCTTTTGCTGCGATGGAGCACAACCGGAGACAAATGCTGAGGCTTTATTTCACTGATGAACTTCCCAAAACTGGCTGTGACCGTATCTTCTGGGGCTGGGTGCTTCTGGACTGCAGGAATGAAAAGATAAAGTTGTTTAATAAAGGTTATTAATTAAGGTTATTATAATTATTTTTAATCAAAGTCAGCATATCTGTTTGCAGTGTTATGCAGTCTTCTGGCAGCCCGCACTGGTCTGATGGTTTTCTTTGGGACAAAACATAAATCAGAACAAAGCATTTTAGTTATTTTTCACATCTCAGGATGACTACAGGCTGATGAGTTCCTGCATTTACTTGTTCACGTCTTTAATCTAATGTTTGTGTTTGAAAGAGCCAGTGTAGAGGTGTAACAGGTGTTTCCCAACATGAGTGTTCTCCTCAACAATTAGCAGGAGTTATTTTATAGTTCCCTGCCTTGGCCGCACTACAAACCTCTACTTTTAGATATTTTTATGACTTCTTTATTTGAAAAGGACTTAAAACCATCACTTTAAGTGTCTGAAAACTGACTAAAAGCATAAATATGTCTGTAATCTTACCTGTAGCGTGGAGAACATGACTTCAACTTTCTGTCACAATGATCTTGTTTCTTGTTTCTCTTGGATGCAGCAGCTGAGCAGTGAAGGATGCTGATGCTTTTGTGGCTGAAAATCCACCTGCCTTATATAGTCCAGGACTTACAATGACCGGAAACACCAAAGGAGCAGGAAGGGCAGGTTCCTTTTGCAATCCTGCATCACATCAGAATGAGACTTTTCCACCCGGGTCATTATCTGTGGTGTAACGTTCACCATCATCAATAGCCTTGAGGGGGAGGAAGGAGAAAGAAGGAGGAAACGCCACTTTTGTGTAAAGTGAAAGGCAGTGATGTCACCTGTAAGTATGCTGCTGTGTGACAGAGTGGGGAATTCTCAGTAACTCCTCCTTTACACAAACAGATCATATTTAAGGCAAACCTTCGTCCCTCCTTCAGCACAACTCAGCTTTCCATCAGTCTGAACAACTTCAACAGGTAAAACTTTGCTCTTTATTTAATTGCTAACAGGAGTAAATATTTTGTTTCTGCGTGTCACCCATCAAAAATCCTTAAACCTATAGCTAGATTATTATATACTCTGCTTTGTAGATTGAATCAGACCTAAATCTGCATAAAGGATGCTCCCTGACAAGAGTTTATCTATAAATATTAAAACTATTATTGCAATATCCTGTAGTTTTTCAACAACATGAAAATAACAGTAATGTTAGGGGTATTATTCTATTGATAAAATTGTTTTCTTTTAGAATAAATTCTTCCTCTTCAGAGAGCCTGTTAGAGGAGCGTCGTAATAAATGACTTTTACATTAGTTACATGACAAGAGTGGCTCAGCCTACTTATGACAGGCAAGGACCGTTTTATATTATATTATATTATATTATATTATATTATATTATATTATATTATATTATATTATATTATATTGTATTATATTATATTATACAGTCATATTAAAATTCATATATAAATGTTATTGTTGAGGATTACCATTTTAGACTTTTATCTTATGTTACCTGTACTGACTGGATTGTCTACAGAAACACCATGGCAGCCTCAAACGGTTTTCCTGCCAGTTTCTATGGAGAACCAGGAGTGTTAGGAATGTTATCCAATGGGATCAGTGCATTCCTTGTACTTCTACAGAACTTCAGCACAGCTCACACTGGCATTAAACCAGTTGGAGTGGAGAACATACTTGCAGGTAAAACTCTTGACATAAACACAAATATCCATTCATGTATAAACCTGTGAAGGTGGCTTACAGCAGTTTCTAACACTTCTTCCAGGTGTTCATCTCATCCTGATTGGTGGTTTGTGCCAGCTGGTGGCTGGACTGCTCTCCTTTAGAAAGTACGATCACCTGAGTGGCACTGCCTTCATCGGCTACGCTGCCCTTTGGGGTAGCTATGGGGCGACCAGAATCTACTATGGTGCTTTATTTAACAATCAGACTATACCATCAGTGTCAGAGCACATGTTCAATGGTTCAACCACCAACATGATGGTCAACACTTCTCTTCAAAACTCAACACAGTGCCACTTATGTGTGTCCATAGAAGAGTCAGCCATTGCTGGTCTGATCCCTTATATCCTTCTGTCCTTTATCCTGGCATTTTGCTCTGCCACGGTCAACTACATCATGCCTTTTGTTTTTGGAGCCATCACGGCCACTTTGATCTTTGAAGCAGCAGCTCTGGTGACAGGCCCTTGGGCTCTGGTGGTCTCTGGGGTTCTGGAGCTGCTCATTTTGATCTTTGCCATCTATGGTTCAGCTGCTCTACTCATCAAAGGGCTGACTCAACGTCTGGTTCTTAAAGGCTTTGGGACCCCCCTCTTTAATGTTCTCCTGCTAGGAACCACCAACTCAACAGGTGCTCAGAAACCTGGTCAAGAGAAGAAGAAGAACACAAAATATGCAGAGCCCATGGCCTTGGGTTTCTTCTGTGACTCTATTGCTCCCTTCATCGTTGCCTTCTACAGCTTTGGGTACATGAAATCGTTTGGTTTAGGAGTTGCATGGGTATCAATCATCTCAGTCGCCCAGCTGTTCTCCAGCTACTACGCTCATTTGCGCCAGGATAGCTACCACACTACAAAATTTGGGATTCATGCCATGTATTGGCTGATCAAGGCTTGGGATGAGTTTGTGGCATCTGCCCTGATTGTGGAGCACAGTCAAGTTGTTGCTGGTAGGGAAGCCATGGTGGGAGACTGGTTCTTTGTGGTGGCTGGCTTGGTGCTCTGTGTGGGAAGCCTGAACATGGACACTCTGGAGCTGATCCACAACTTGCTCTTTGTTCTGCTCACAGTCTCAACAATCCCCCAGATCCCCCTGCAGGGTTACTACATCTTCTTTGGTGTAGCCTGCTCTCTCTTCACTGCAGTCTCAGTCTACGGTACCTTCTCACGCCTCATAAACACCATCGCAGAGAAGTCTCTAATCCCTGTGGGACCACAGCCGGTCTCCTCCGAGCAGCTGAAGAGAGCTCTGATGTGTAGAAGATCTCAACAGGGAGAACAAAAAGAGCTGCCCAACAGTGACCAGGCCTCAGATGCTCTGTTTTATCTCACCAACGGGGTTGCAGCACTTTCAGCTCTTCATTCAGAAGTGTCAAGTGGGAACCCTTCATTCCTTCATCTGACTGTCCCCTGGGTCCTCATCTCTGGAGGCATCATTCAGACCTATGTCAGCAGGCTACAAGTCACCGGAGAGGGCCGGTTTGGATCAGTCATCTCATCCATCTACGTGGTTGTATGGGCAACTTGGACGTGGTTTCGATTTGCAGGTATGTCAGCATAAAGTATGAGCAAAATACATTTTTTCTGACTGATTTGAACAATATTCTCATCAGGAGTTATTGTTCTACAGGTTTTCAGCTTCAGCTCCCCGTCCTGGCAGCCTATGGATTCACAGCTGGAGGCGTTGCTTTACTGGTCATTAATGCCTTCCTCATGCTGATTGGTAAGGTCTAGTATCTGCTTTCAGCGCTGGAAATCACAATTTTTATTCATTCATAATTTTGTACTTTTGTTTCTTCTATTAGCTGCTTATAGGAACGTGGTTCTGTTGTTTCTAACAACAATCATGGAGGTTGTTCTTGTCTGCTTCCTTCTCTCCACCCTGCACAGACTTCCATACCAACTTGAAAGTGAGTTAAAACCGCCTGTTATAAACTTTATGTATTTACGATACTGACTCTCATCAGAACAAATAAAGTCTAACATCCAGAAACGATGTATTGCAGTTGCCATGCTTGCATTGGTATCCATCATTTGCTTTTATGGCACCTTGGCTTCACTGATGAACTGCATCTTCTCACAAAGAGTGATCCCAATGGGTCCTCCCATAATAAAGGTAATGACTGAAGTTTAGATTGGCCTACCTTTAAGAATCAGCATGAATAATTAATAAAAATGTGTGTGTGTGTGTTGTTTTAGGAAAAAGTGAAACAGGAAGCTTGTGACGAGCCGTCCTGTCCGGTGGCTAGCTCGCGTCTCACCAGCGGTCTGTTGAAGATAGCTCGACTTCTCGAGGACGGGGGTGTGTGTGGTATTCCCACAGATACTGTGTACGCTCTGGCTGCTTCCTGCAAGAATCCTCAGGCGATAGAAAAAATCTACAACATTAAAGTAAGAAGATAGAGGAGGCTTGTTTAACAGCAATATACATTTTCATGAAGTCACCATCTTGTTGAATTGGACCTTTTGCAGGACAGACCTGCAGAGAAGCCTATATGCATTTGCATCTCCAGTGTGGAACAGCTGGTTGCAGCCAGGCCTCCTTTCAGCCCTCTGCTGTGGGAGTTCATGAGGAATGTGTATCCTGGAGGCATCAGCTGCATTGTCAGCAAAGGAGACTGGCTTTACAGACTAGGTCAGCAGTGTAGAGTGTTTGAATGTTGAGTGGCAGAATTCTGTATCAGTATTCAGTTTTTACGTGAACTTTAACCTCATTTCTGTAGGAGTTGGACCTGCTTATGACCGTGTTGGTACCAGAGACAGCATCATGATCCGTGTCCCAGACCACACCGTGACCTGCCACCTATGTGACATCACTGGACCCCTGGCCATAACATCAGCCAATCCCAGTGGAGAATCAGACAGCACCCACCACAGCATGGTCATTAAGTAAGAGTCTCCTCAAAGAAGTTTAATGCAAACTAACAAACAACACATCTCTAACACTTTTAGCACCATACACTAATTACTGTTTCAAACTGCTTCTTTTGCTGCAGTCGACTGGGACACAAGATCCAAGGAGTACTTTGTGATGGTGACTCGAATGAAGTAGTTGCTTCAACTGTGGTCAACTGCCTGAGGATTGATGAAGGTAAGGGGCCATGATTTCTTCCTACTGGGGCTGTTTAAGGTCAAGTTTCTAACTGAAGCTCTTCTAACCTTCGTTCAGGAGTCATCACCATTGTGAGAGAAGGCTGTGTCCCTGCTATCAAAGTCCAACAGATCTTTGACAGACTGAAGAACTCCATGATTTGAGTGTCTCTTAGCGAAGACTGTCTACCTGGCTGATCACCTTCAAGTCAACTTGTCTAACCCAAGCTGTGCTTTGCTTTTCATACTGACAAACAGCAAAAGAGGGAAAAGAAAACTAAAGATGTGTGTTTATATGGATGTAACTTTTGTGTCTTAGTGGATGCATAGATAGATGGCTAATTCAAAAGTCATCTTAAACTGCATGAAGTCCACAATGTTTTGCATTATTTATATATTTATTGTTATATTTATTTTCAAAATATATCAACACAAACACTTTGAATGTGTAAATAAGTATTTATGTTTTTTTAATTTATAATGTTTGAACTCATTGTAAAACAGAATGTCTTTGTGTGGTTTCTGCATTGAAGCGCTCTCATGCATTAATTTATTTGTGCAATAAAACAACTAAAGTTTATTAAGGCTTGCATCTTTAAATAATTTCTAAATGTTTTCTAGATGAATGCATTCTCTCCCTCAGTACATCTTTATTCAGATCTTCAGATAAAACAATAACAACAATGGTGTTTAAAAGCTTGACAGAAATAGATATATTTTTGAACAATTACTAATTAAGCACTTGACAGCATCTAGTTATTTGTCAGAGGTCATTAGCAGCTCAAGAACTCTGAAACAATTCAACCATCTAACTTTGTTATGAGCTCTTTAAATATGGGGATCCCTTGTTTAATCAATACATTTGCAGTGGTCTCTAGTAGTAATGAAGCCTTGTAAGTCGTACTCTGGGGAAACAGAGCTCAGGAACAGTTTCAGGAAGTAGAAATGAGCCACATCAGAGTTGAGGATTGGCCTGAAGTAGCTAATGCTAACGGTTAGCTTAGACTGTTGGATACCCTAAACCAACAACAGCATTCCCTGTCGTGAGTCAAGATAGACGAGTCCATGAATGCTACGTGACATTATCTCTCTCTCTGTCTCTCTGTCTCTCTCTCTCTCTCTCTCTCTCTCTCTCTCTCTCTCTCTCTCTCTCTCTCTCTCTCTCTCTCTCTCTCTCTCTCTCTCTCTCTCTCTCTCTCTCTCTCTCTCTCTCTCTCTCTCTCTCTCTCTATATATATATATTGTAACCCAGAAGCTAGAACCTTAATGAGGTATTAACTAATTGGCTTACTAATATGATCCATCCTCAATTTAGATAAAATATAAAATATAAATTAAGGAAATTAACAATACTAATTAATAGATATCTAATTAACTAATAGATAATTTCATAATGAATTATTGGAAGGGTGAATAACTAAAATAACGAGTTTAATATTAAACATCGGTTAAAACAAGAATCTTGAACATCCCTAACAGAAACAGAAGAGGAAAGCTGTATACTATTGGTCCAGGTGGGAATCTGAAATTTCATTGGCTGAGAGAAATAAGTCCCGCCTCCGCGAAATAAAACCGTGCGACGCAGCTGAGCGAGAGGAGAGACAAACGGCTGTGCAGCACGCAGATACAGAAAGCAAAGACTGAGCGGTTAGAGAGAGAGAGAGAGAGAGAGAAAAAAAAAAAACAACGGTCGAGGCCGTGAAGAACCCCGATTTGGGTGCCGCATAGATAGAGGGAGAGGCGGACTTGACTCCTTCTAATAAGAGCTAGGAACTTGGAACCAACGCGGTGAGTAAAGAAAAAAGAAGAGAAAAAGCTAACGATGCAACTTAAAAAAAAAAAAAAAAGGAAACTTAAATAGCTTATCAAATTAATTCCATTCTTATAGATTTGTGTGGAGACGACAGAGTGAACCAATCCTCTGTAGGAGGGAACCGTTGGAGCGCGTTGGTGAGTGAATGAGATTAAATTCAGTAAATTATTAAATTCAAAAAGCTAATTACAGCAACCGAGGTGACAGCAGTGGGCTGCTAGACGTTAGATCCCAGGAGTTAACATCTCAAACTACCAGTTAACGGTGGTAGGGCATATAGGAGTTAACGGCTCAAACCGCCAGTTAACGGCGGTACGGCATATGGGATTCCCAGGAGTTAACGGCTCAAACCGCCAGTTAGCGGTGGTACGGCCTAGATGTACAAGGTCCTCAGGGGCGTTATAGCTAACGCCATAGAATTAGCAATGCGTCCCTTAACCAAACATTTAATAATAAAAAAAAATAGATAAATAAAAATAAATAAAAGCTAACTGATTAGGGAGGAATTATTTTACAAAGGTGGACCAAAGGACCAGAATTTATATTTTGTTGAATTTTGTTATAGAACATTTTATTTATTTATTTATTTATTTATTTATTTATTTATTTATTTATTGTGTTACAGATATACAAGGTGTCACAATGCTGTATAGAAACACAACTAAATGTATCCTTGTTGTCATGAATGTATTTCTTGTTGAATAGTGTAGAGTAATAGAATCTAACTGAGCCTATTGAGCTGAACAATTGTTGTCATATGTAATTATATTTCCAGAGCTACTGAGAATTATTTTAATAGACAAATCAAATTGATGTTATGTTAGTTGAACTGTGAACCCAAACATGATTGGCTATGCCAATAGAGTGAAGCATTTGTTTAAGTCTGTAAGACTTTATGCTGTGATGTGACGAGAAGGGTCGATGCCAACTCGCTAACAGTCCTGTTGTTTACAGGCTGGGTTTTTTTTTTTCCTTGGGTTTGATCCCGACTCCTATGATCACTCACTTGGAACGAGAACTGGATTTCTTCCTGACGAGGGAGATGGCGAGCCTTAACCACTGAACGAACCAGGACATCTCAAGTAACTGAAGAGCAGACTGCTCTCTTCTGTGAACAATCTCAACGGTGTGGTAGGAAAAAATCGCACCACCGGACTCTGACTTTCACCCCAAGCGTGGGGATTTGACTTGACGCCGGCTGACTTGTGACTCATATGATCAAATCTCATACCGACCATTTTACTATTGTCGATTGTTTTCATCTGTTTTTGTGTGTTATCTTTATGTGTTATATTTCCCATTATTATTAAAATTTAGTATATAAACCGTTTCATGCTATACCCGTGACTCCAGTCATTCTTAAACAACCTCCAATTCTCCCCGAACCTAATTATTGGCCCATTTGTTTACTTTTTCTTTTAATTATCTTATTGTATCCTGTAATCCGGTTACATAAAACTTGGCGAGCCAGCCAGGAGAATTGTAGAGTTGTTACCTTAGCTAACCATTGACTGACATCATAAGAGTGCCTGGAGGTCACAGTGGTTTGCCATTTTGGCATTATTGGTACTTTTGAGTGTTTTAAAATGGAAGTTGTGAAAACAGAAAAGGTCAAAGTTTCAAATGCTGTTTTAATCAGTGGGTTAACTGATACAGACCTTGATAACGAAGTCTTTGGGTTTATGGAAGGATTCGGACCAGTTAACAGGCGCATTAAGTTACCAAACTGTGATCAGATTATTGTGGAGTTTCAACATGAAGCCACTGTTAAGGAATTAAAGAAACAATGTTTACCCTATGACAAACCTTGTACTAGGAACCCAGATGTTTTCTTCCATATTCAAGACCTAGCCAGCGCGTACAGTCTAGAAACTAGCACATCTGCCACTGATGCCTATCTGTCAGAGCTCAGGGACATAGCTGCGCGTAGCAATCAATCATTTAAAGACCTTCTAATGGAGGAACTGGCAAAAATTGGGGAATCTTTAGGAAGGGATACCCATGCATCTGAACCAGTCACTGAACCAGAGCCAATGCTCCATAGTGACCA